ATTTTACTTACAAGGATTTTCTTACAAAATCCTACTTAGCCATCCTACAAATCTTAAAGTTTTTGGATGCCTTATAGGTGAATGTTGCAGCCATTATATCCCATAATTTGCCACCTTATCTAATGACTTAATGAGTCATGAATGATAAGGTGGTTTGCTGCCACATGAGTAGGGGACTTATCCTTATCACAATTTTTAAACCACTTAGTTCTTTAATTTATTTTTAATCCTCATTAACCAATAATTATCTAATTATCCACATTATTAGGAATTATCTCAAATTACTTAAAATACTACTTACTCTTAACACACCTTATACACCTTACTATCGTGGTCATGTGGTACCTTGTATAACATTAGTCCATAATTACCGGTATTTTAGCTCAGGCCATATTTTATCCCAATATGCCAACATTAACAAAACCCATTTTCTTTGATTTGCTTACCCTCCCACCTTCACGAATTTACTCATTACTTGTTTGAAATAGCATAATGCTTATAATCTCAAAATAATCTCAATCCCGAACTTACGTCGATTAACTTATGACGAAACTTTAACATACGAAAATGCGGGATGTAATACAAAGGGTCCTACAAACTTGGCACCATGGAAGGCGAGCAGCTTCCAAGCAATTGGAACATATCGATGCTCAAACGCTATTATTGCTAAGGTATAACCTTCTCCCTTTTCGCTTTATGTCTCATACCAATTTATTATAGGTGTTCGATGGGAGACGCCGAAGCACCCTTCGACTCGAAGACCTTGGGTTTTAAAGCATGGGTTGCACTTTTTTCCCTTCGATCAGTTTTTATCCCAAATGGGTTTTTCCGGCGCGGTTTTTAACAAGGCGATATCTATATGCTACCTAAGGAGAACTCAACAAGTATTCAAGGCTTCTTCTCAATCAGCCTTGAATACTCGGGGGCATCCCCCTCGGAGGTTATCTTTTCGAAAAAATCGAGCTTATAAGGGGATCTCGATAGGAAAATATTATATTGGGCCAAACGATCAAATGAACCGTGTCCATGTAGAACAATCAAGCCTCCGAAGGCAAGAACATGTACACATATATAAATAATCAAATAAGCCTCTCTGCTTGTCAAAACACTGTGTGCCTCAAAGAAGTTTACTACTTTCACGCAAAACGGCTCAAGGGCCAAAAATCCTCGAACACTCGAGGATTGTCATCGACAGTCAGCTCATCAAAGCCATCAAAAACTCGAATTCGTAAGACCTCAATAAGGCAACTTCGAGCTCGTAAGACCTTAGTGAGGCAGCATCAAATATGTAAGACCTCGACGAGGCATGCCCAAACATATAAGACCTCAATGAGGCAATACCGAGCTTATAAGACCTCAATGAGGCGTACTCAAATTTATAAGACCTTAAAAGGACATAACCCTATATTAAGGCAAAGGCTATATATTCAAACTTGTAAGACCCCTAAAAAGGCATACCCTCGATATAGACGCCAAGGTCACCGCACCCGAGGACTAAAGGCTACGGCCAAACATAAAGACTACGGTTGAACTAAAAGGCTATGACCGAATTAACACGGCTTGGAGACGTCCAACTGCCACCAAAAATCTAAAGGCCTTCAAATACTTCGAAAATACTTCGTAAAGAACCGGTTAATCAGGCTACCCTCGACATAAGCAAAGGAGTTTTGATAATATCAGCTCCGAACAATAAAAAGGCTTCGAAAACAATCAGCTTTCGATGAAAAGGTCTCGAAAACTCGGCCTTCGAGCGAACCTCCCGAGGTACTCAGCTATTGTCACATATCGACTCACAATCGAGGTTCTCATTTGATCTGTCAAAGGGTCGGACAAACATAAAACATGCCAAGGCATAATCAAAACTTCAAAAGTCTTTAGCCAAAATGAGGGAAAACTATAGCCATATTAGAGGTCGCATCGACCCAATCTAAAAAGAGCCTAAGGGACAATGCGTAAGAGCCTAAGGGCCAATGTGTTAAAAACTTGAGGGTCGATAGCTGATGTTTTATACGTCAATACCACACAAGGAGGGGGAGGATGATTTGTGTGGTGACCAATTTTTGCTTAATTTGTTTATGGAAGGACCTGGTTCTTCTATGTGTTCCAACTACTACTATTGCGGAATAATAAATATAGAAAGTAAAGAACACAAGTATTTTTACGTAGAAAACACCCGGCTCAAAAGGGGAAAAACCCACGACCTACTACTCAGTAGGATTTTCCCCAACATTTCACTAAATCACTGAGCCAAAACAACATTTACAAAACTCTTTGTAAACCTAAGGATTACCTCTATCACGTTGTAGCAACCAGCCTCTAACTGTTGCGAAAACTTCAAGTTAACTCTAACTTGAATACTCAAAGTACCTATTACAATTGCTTCTAGATAAAGCTGAAAAGTACAATATGAAAACACCTACTACAATTGAACTAGAAATAAAGAAAGACACATAAAACTCTTTATGGAGTTGGTTCTTCAATCTAGTTCATGTAGCGTCAGGTTTGCACACTTGAATTACACACGAACTGCTTGCAAAAAGCCTTGCTATTTTGCTCTCAATTCACACTTAACTTCTGCATTTTTGTGCAACACTGTAATGTGAGAACATCCTGCAATTTATAGAGTTAGTAGATGAAGAAATAACTAGAGTTCTAATGCAACTCTTCCTTGTTGGAAGAGTTCTAGTTGATTTCAACTTCTAACTCCTTCCTTATCTTGGATAGTGTTCTCTTTGATTAAGGAGTCCCTCTCCTTATCAATTATGCAACCTTTTCAATCAGGAGATATTAAATACACCAAGTTAAGCTTATCTCCTTCACATGCATCCCACATACTCGAATCTGCCTGTTTTTGTGAACCTCAGGGATGGACCTAGTTCATCCTGAGTTCCTTTGTCAGTCTTCAAAACTAACCTTTACTTTGGCCAACAAATTCCTTTTGATGATAACAAACTCTGTGCTTTTCATAAGCTTAGGTCTTGTTTCAACTCAGCTCAATATCAACACAATGTTAGAAACATTTTTCCTTTTTATCACTTATCATCAAGGACCAGGTACATTAGGTTATAAACATCATTGTTCAAAGTTTAAACATCACTTGCTTAAAGCACAACCTTTTCCCCCTTTTGGCATCATCGAAAAGTTGTATAAAAATGTGAGATAACCAGATTTTAAAGCTTACTCATGACCACTAGGGCTACTTCAAATGCAATCATGGATTAGTCATCATAGATCAAGCTAATAATTTTAACCATCAAAGAAATATGAACAAACAGTTAGAGCAAAAATAGTGAAATTCATTTATGATTGATAAGATTCTACCACAAAGCATAAGAAGAAATAAAAATACTGAAAACATGAGCAAAAGAAACAAAAAGTCCCGAACTGGGTCATGGTTTATCTACATTAGGCTAGGAGGCTTAAGGCTAAGAAGAACTTGGTGCTTTGTTTTTGACTTGGAGGAGTTTCAGCATACCTTGAAGAATGCCATCATTCTTCTCTTTTTCTCTTGCCAGCTCAGTTCTGAGAGCATCTCTCTTATTCTCCACCTCAACCAACCTCTTCTTCGGCCTTTCAATCTCAGCATCCTTAGCCCCATTTTCTTGCACCAAGGCTCTGAACTTGCTATTCGCTGGTACCTTTTTGGATGAACTAGATTCTTTAGGAGTGACATTAACTTCATAATCGTAAGCAAGCAGAGTATTAACCCAAAAATGATCCATGCTTGTACTAACCTCCCACTTTTTCATAGGTACATTGAAATGTGCAAGCACAGTTGTGAGAATGAAGTCATAGGGAATGATATGTGTTTTGGTGCCATTGATAACTCTATCAAGAAGCTGGATTATAGCTTTCAGTTACTTTCTTTAGCAGATCTGTGAGGGTTTCCTCTACAGATGAACCAGGTTCATCTCCCCAAACAACCATTGCACCTGCATTTTTGGTTAAACTCACAGGAGTGGGTGAAGAATCAACCACTCGTGTCCCCTTTCCCCTCACAGTACTCCTAGCACCCTTGCTCTCCTTTTTTTCTTTTTCATTTTTACCACCAACTTCTCCAGATTCTGTAGTCTCAACACCTGCTATAGATCCTACAAATATATTTTCCAAATTTGCAGCAACTTTAGAAATTGTCTCAGGGGAAACTTTAAAATTAGAAGATACTTGTTTAGTTTTGGAAGAGCCACTTTCTTCCCCCTGAGTAGCAGACTTAAAAGAATCTAGGTAGTTTAATACGGTCAGGAGTCTTGAACGTAAATGGTTCACTTGTAACAGATAAGTTCAAAAGTACTTTGGTATTTGGTAGGACTCTGCTCGTGATCTAAATATAATTATTTCAAATTATGCAGAGTGTAGAAAACATACCATGTTATCTTGATGAACCATGTTCTTCATTGATAATTGTAGACATGTAATTTTTGACCCGCACATTAGAATTACCTTTAATAGTTCTAGTATTTTTAGGATATTTATTTGAATTTATTTCTATAGAATTTCACTCTATTATTAATTTTAATTCTATTTTTAGGCACAAAAATTAAAAAATACAAAAATAGTTTCACTTTTCTATTTAATTTAGTATTAGGTATTTTTAGAAAGATATATTACTTTTAACCTATTTTTATTTTAATATAATCCGTGAAAATACCAAAAGTAGTTTCAAATTTAAGTTTTAGTTGTTATTTTTAATATTAATAGTTTATAAAAATCAATTAAGAGTTTTTATATTTTTTGTAGGTATTTAAATTGAATTTTCAACTTTCTTTTGGCCCAATTTTGTAAAAATTTCGGAGCCCAATTCAAACATGAGCCCAAAATTCAACAACCCACTCCCTTAAATCAACCCTGACCCACACCCCAAACCCAAAGCAAATAACCAGACCGGACCCGCCCCGTTTTTCCATTTAATCTTGGCCATCCATTCACTTTAATCCAACAATCCACAATTAATTCCCCCACCACATAAAACCTTAACATTTGCTAACCCTAACCCTAAAGACTTCATCCCAAATGGCTCCCTTCTCCTCTCAAATCTGCTACTTCCAACTCGAGCCAAACTCGCCGGAAAACTTAGAAAAAACCGGCGAGTGCGCTAAGCCGAGTTTCACGGTCCCCCCTCTCATCTTCTCCTTCTTCCACGTCATCCCTTCCGTACTAAATCTCATGATTCCTTAAATCGATTCACGTGTTCTCTTTATTCGTTCTATTTTTGTTGAGGCAATTTCGGACCCTTGAACAAATCTTGGAAGAATGGGAATCGTTGGATGAAGATTTTTGTCCAAAGTTTCTATTTTTTTTTTTTGTTTGTCAAAAGGGATTTTCGGATTTTGTTTTGGGGTCCACACAGTTTTGGGCGTTACTTGGAGAAGAGGAGAAGAAGATTCAAGAGGGGCTATATATTTGGGATTTTCGGACATAAAGGGAGAAAAAAAAGGTTCGGAAAGAAGCTAGGGTTGAAAAAAAATTCTCCTTCTGTCTTCATTTGGAATTTTTCAGATTTTTTGACTTAGTTTAATTTCAAAAATATAAATACAAACGAAAAAGAAAAAAAAAATTATGTTTCTCCTTCTGATTTAGGATTTTGGTTATCACTATGGAATTTAGCTGAGTTGAGGTGCCGATTTGAGTTGTCGTCCGTAGTCCGAGCTCGCAGTTCTCGCCTCACTCTTGCTTCTGTTGTTTGCAACTTTTGGTTCGAGTTCTCGCCGCTCTGTAATTTTTGAAGATTTGAATATACTGCAAAGCGATTTCAGGTCCATTTCCTTTCTCCTTATCTTGTTGTTTGGTCTGATTGTTAGTATGATAAGAGTTTTTGGTTTGAAATGGGTTTAATGGTTTAAAATTCGATGAAGTTTTTGCTAAAAAGGGAGATGGACATGAAATGATTTCAGTTGAGGCTATTAATTCTGAATGAAGTATAGAGTTCATTGCTTGGTTTAATGGTTTGCTTGATGTTTTCTATACCAATATTTCTTGTCTTTTCCTGTATGAATCTTAATTAAACTATTAGGTTTGGTTTAGATTGTTTCACTTTCATGTTCTGTTAGAATTCATGAGTGATATTTCTATGTTAGTCTCAAATGGCTCTTGCTATAAAATCCTCATGAAGCAGCGCCATTAGTTTTAAGTTTTATGTTCTCAGATTGACAAAAACAGGTTGATTCATATGATGTTAATCTTGGGTTTTGAATGAACTGTGATTAAACTTGAAATATTCTGATTATTTAAGTTTATGCCAATCATTTAGAAGACATTAAGTTTGAAATTGGAGCTAGTTTGTATAAAAGGTTAATCTATTTTGGAAAAATATCATGTTAATGGTTAGAAACTGTTTGCTATGTGAAAGCAGCGTGTTAATGTCACTGTTGGTTGGAGTGAATGGAAGTTTCCAAGAAATGTATCTCTATCTTAACTCAAGTATAATAATGTGATTCATGAAGGGTTATTCACTTTTGTTCTTTTATGAGTCATTGGAGTGTATCGTTTGTTCCAAAAATGGATAATGAATTGTGAAAGACTGTTGTTTCAGTGGCAGTGTACATTGATTTGTCTAGGGCTTTTGGATTAGGAGAATGGGCGTATGGGGGTTAACATAGCACGATTGAAATTTTAATATAGCTCTTATCATTTTTTGGTCCTCTTGCTTTATCTTTTAATTCCCTAGTATTCTTGGTTTGGTCGTTTCCATGTTACTAGTAGTATGTGTCATTTGGATAATTATTTTGTTTGACGTTTCCTTGTCATTATTTGGTGTGGGAAATTCGATTAAGTAGATGAACGGGGCTATGGGGATGGAAAAAGCCAAACATAATTAAATTGTTACATGCCTTAGTTTTCTCTTATTTATTTGCTTTATTCGCTAGGAGCATGCTTAGATCGACTACATTTGGGTAGGCAAGCCTTAGGATTTTTATTGGGTTCGAGGTGAGAGGTCGTTCCCTTAGTTAAATTTATCCGGGGTATGCCCCGAGGTATTTGTATATATTTTATTCCGGGAAATGCCCTGTAGAACTTTGTAATGGGAGGTCTAAAGTAGAACTTGTAGTATTTTATTCTTATTTTATGTTTTCTTTTATTAGGTGGGGGACGACTTCGAGCCTCATGTGTGTTTATTTTGCTTTTCCGTGATTTTACCTCAACTTGAATACTTTAAAAACCGACTAGATCGAGTATGCAACCGCACTAGTTGCGGGACTTGGGGAGTGTCTGACACCTTCTCCCCGAGTCAAATGAACTCCCTTACTCGAATTTTTGGTGCGAACTTGGTTGTAGAGTCTGAAATGTTTTAAAAGGAAAAATTATTTTAAAAAACGGTGATCTGGCACATCGAAATCAAAGTCAGGTGGCGACTCTGAGTTATTTCCTTTTGAACAAATTTGTCACTTTCTAATTGAAAATCCTTTTGAGCTTTACAAATCTTTTATTAATTTAAGAGGGTTAGTGAGGTTATAAAAAGGGGTGTGACAGCTCTGGTGACTCTGCTGGGGAGTTACAGGTTCGATCTGATACTTGATTTTGTTGGCTTTTTAGAATATTCAGTTGTGGTTTTTTATGTTTTCTTTATTTACTTTATTTGATTTATTTTGTTTATGTCGCTTTATTTGCTAGTTATTTTATGTGTTTACAGTTTTTCCTTTATGTGTTACTGCTTTATAATTGTTATCATATACATTACTCGGTCAATTCTTTCTGCAGCAAGTCTCAGAGTACGCGTCGCGTACATGAACTCTTTGTTGAGTCACCCTTATTTTAGGAGGGGGGCCGTTAGACGTATGGAGTAGGTGGAAAGCTTGAGTAGCCACCATCGACCATATGCTTTCCCGAATTGCCTTGTTAGTGAACCCCAAACTTAGGTTAGCCTTTAGGTCATTCTTATTTGCATCATGTCATTCAAACCTAGCAGGGCTCGGTCCTAGGCACCGTGTCCCATCGTAGGATGCCTATCCAAATTATGTCAAAAATGGGCCCGTGGCCCAAAATAATATTGTGCTAAATATTGTATCTACGAGGGTAGTAAGGTCATTTGGCGGACCGATGTTTTGAAAAAAAGGAGGAAAATGAAGCAAGTAGGGCCCAATTATATTTTTCTTTCACAACTTTTTCAAGAAAAACCAAAAAAATTGAAAATGAAAAATCCAAAAAGATTTTGCACTTTTCCATCATTTTCCAAAAAAATCAAAAAAGAAAAGAAAAAGAAAATAGGAAAATACAAAAAGGTTTTACATTCCCCATCATCTTTCAAAAAGACAAAAAAATATAGTTTCTCCAGATTAGCTGCATTTTTTTAAAAAAACTTTCTCCCATGTCCAATCTTCCCGAACTACGCGAACCTGATTTTCGTCTTTCGGGGCAATAGGCAACCCACATAGGGTCCGGTCTTCTTAGTAAGTCTTAGGTTCTTGGCTTCTGGGGTCGTAGCCAAATCTTGCATGTATAGCCATATTTGGCCACCTCGGCCGTTCTTGCAAAATAGGGCTATTTTCTCAAAGTAGTTTGTTATCTCATGTCATAGAGCCCTGAGTCTACAACAAAGTGTCCTCTCAATTCTAAGGCCCATTCCTATTAAGTTTGCATGCCTGGCCACTTTTGGCCACATCAACCATTCTTGTAAAATGGGGTCGTTTTCGCAAAAGTGGTTCAATTACCCATGTCTTAGGATCTTGAGTCCACAACTCAGTGTCATATCACTTTAAGGTCCATCTTTGTTGTGTTTGCGTCCCTAGCTACATTTGGCCATATCAGTCGTTTTTGCAAAATGGGTCATTTCCGCAAAGTAATTTTTAAGGCCATGATTGTTGGGAGTTTGAAGTCGTGAAAGCCTTAAATAGGGTGTTTTTCATGCATTAGGGGGCCAACCTTGTCGAGTTTGCACTAATAGCCACCCTCGGCCACTTAGGCCATTTTGTAAAGATAGCCAAATCGTGTCTTGCATCCGTCCACTAGGAAATGTTGTGGTATCACATAGTGTCCCGAGTCGCTAACCATGTTCTCTTCATAAAGGTATGACCCGTTGATTCGATCCAAAGTGCTGATGGTAGTAAAGATTCCTAGGAAGTTGATCAAGTGGTGGAAAATGTTTTCGCTGTTAGAGCAGCATGAGCTAATGCAGAAATTGGGCACCCTCACTTCCCTGCTTGATATCACACCTTGCCCAGACTTAGTAGAGGCGATACTAACCTATTGGGATCCGCAAAATTTAATTTTCATATTTGAAGAGTGTGAGATGACTCCTACCTTGGCGGAAATGTCTGGTCTCACTCGTTTAAGCTATATAGGCAAGAACATGATACTTCTCCGAGACCACTTTAGGACAAGATTCCTCAGCGACCTGGGCTTGAAAGACAACAGGCATTTAAGATGCCTTAAGCAGTCCTGAATATCCTTGGGTTATTTGTTTGCTAGATTTGGACCACGGGATAGTTTTGACGTCATTTGGGATGGGTTCTGCACAACCAAGGTGAAGTGGCAAAGACGTCAACTCGAAGCGTTCATCCTTGCTTTGTTGGGATTATTGGTTTTCCCATTAGATGATAGGCACATTAGTACTCGTCTACAGTCAGTGGTAATGGCACTATTTCATGAGAAGCACCGCAAAACCATTACCGTTGTGCCGATGATCTTAGCAGAGTTGTATCGAGCCCTGAGTGAGGTTAGGGGAGGTGTTAGGTATTTTGAGGGAAGTAACCTTTTGCTAAAATTGTGGTGATGGAGCATTTGCACACCGCTTCCTTACTTTGTCCCATCGACCGTGCCTTGAGGGATCGGGTGGTATGCATTGAGTGTAGGATGAAATCTCCTAAGTTTACATACCCAGTAGGCATCACAACTTGGATTGAGTTCCTTGGTTTGAGGACAAATGATAATGTTTTGTGGGCTTACCTTTGGCTACCTTTAGATGAGATCTTGGTAGGATGCCGCAAGCAGCCTTTCTTGATGCTGATAGGAATTAAGTGTGTCAGGTCGTACACTCCCATTAGGGTAATGCGACAGTTGGGCAGGAGACAAGAGGAGCCTCCAACTTTGAATCTTTGGAGGCACATCATGAATTTTAGCAAAAAGGCGGTTGACGAAATCAAGTACGTGCAATACTGGAACAATTCAAAGAGGATGAAGAAAAATACATTAGTAGAGGATGTTGGCAGGCCCGAGTGTACTCAGGAGTACTTGATCTGGTTATAGTCCGTCCCACCAGGGGTCAGCACCCCATTGCCAGCACAGCTTAGGGGTCAGGTAGTTCAGATAGATGATTTTGAGGAGGCATCAGACCAAGATCCTTGGGATAAACTTGAGTTGATAAAGTCTCAGTTAGCAGGATTAGTAGCAAACGTGGAGCAGCATGGCCAGTATTTGTTTAGGGTCGGCCTTCAGGATGCGTGGGCACATGCCAGGGTCTTTATTCCCAGCATCGGTGTTTCTTTAAGAATCATGTTACAGAGTTTGAGCATGACGGACAGCCCAGGACCATCCCAGCTGGGGGAATCACATCCAGGAGTTGATTGAGGAGGATTTCTGTTATTATTCACATGTTAAGTCTGTTTATGTCGTCTTTTATTTTCTAACCTTGTCTAGTGTACTGAAGGTAGTGTCAGAGTCTGTCGTAGTGTAGTTGAGTTAGTCAGTCTTTCAATCTCATACTTCCCATTTTGTAAACCAGAAATTTTTAAATGAATTTTTTTTTTATTTTCCATCACTTTTCCAGAACTACGCTTGGTCTGATTCATGAGGGACATGATATGTAGGCAACCTACATCAGGTTCGATCGAATTATTTTTTAAAAAGCTAAGAGAAAAAAAAAAGAAAAGAGTGAATAAAAAATAAAAGAGAAAGAGTGGGAAGAAATGATAAGAGGTGTTAGAAAAGTGTCACACCTCTTTTTTTACACTACACCCCGTAAAGGTTATAAATACAAGGGAGTTTTTCCAATTAAAGGACAATCAAAACGGGATTTATTGTTAAAAAAGATTCAGAGTCGCCACTTGGGAGATTTATGGTATCCCAAGTCACCGGTTGAATCCCGAATCGAGGAAAAATTTACTCTGTTTAACAGTTCGCGAACCAGAAATCCGAGTAAGGAATTTTGTTAACCCGGGAGAAGGTGTTAGGCATTCCCGAGTTCCGTGGTTCTAGCACGGTCGGTCAACTGTTATAATCGGCTTAATTATCTGATTTTAATCAATTATGAACTTGTGTGCAGATTTTAAACCCTTAACCGCTTTTAATTATTTTTAAAGAAGATTGAACGTCGTTTAAAATACGTCTTTGGATCGCGCCACATGAAATGCACCCGCAATCCTAAACATATTTTATTCAACGTTTTAAGATTCGATTTGGATCACATGAAATGCGCACCCGAGTTTATGAAAGTAAAATTATTAAAATAGCGCGCCTAAAGCAACTACGCGCTTTAACTTTGCGAGGGCCATGGAAAATTCGTTATATGACACACCTCGAACTCTAAGGATCAAAATAAAATTAGTTACACGAAGGCCATGCAATTGTCATTTCATTTGGCACAACACACCTCGATTTATTCTAATCAAGAGGTCTCTTAAATTAAACACAAGGGTCACGCACTATCTTCTATTTAATAGCACTCTTGAAATTATTTAAAAATATGACTAATTGAACATTAAGAGATGGGGGAGTTG